TTTCCCAAATACTAATTATTAGACATGTAAATTTTGTTATGTTCCAAATGCAAATTTGGACAAAATTTTGTGAATTTGGACATTCGGATGACTATGAATGTCTGAATTCTAATAAGGCCAAAAGGAATCTGAATGTTCAGATCGTCCGAATTTAGTTCAAAATGAAACTAAATCAGACACGTTACTGTGTTCTGGCCAATCAGAAAAATTCATCCGAAACTAAAATTAAATTCTGAAAGATCCGAATCCAAATAATGAAACAAAATGACGTTCGGACCCGAAACCTGACATAAAGAAAAATTCAAAACGAAACAATTTTTTTGCCGGCTTACATGTGTACCAATTATGGTTAAGGATTGAAGACAGCTTACAATACGATCAAATCCATCACCGGCAGCTAATAATTAAAATAAAGCAACTTCTCCACCTAATGGGTTTCACTATCTTGTTGGCTTGGCATACTGCAGAATCAGGGAGGCAATGGAGCATCGTCTTGCTGTTCCGACTAGCAAAGGAGCAGCTTCGCAGGGGAAGGTAAGTGGTCACAATTTAACAAGTGTTTCTGGAATCTTTTGTTATCCCAACCTGAATAGTAGGTAAATTAGGAAGTGCAAAATCTACTGATACAAAAGTTTTAATACGAGTAGTAGCAAATACTCCCTCCTTTCAGGAACTTTCATTGACAGCAGGTTGTTGATGAAATTGTGATCTTTGACCTATCATGAGTTCAGTCTTTCACCAGTCTATCAATACATTGTCTTATAGTCTAAGGTCCCTGAGTCATCACTTTCTATACGTAGTCTAAAGAACGTGACTGAGGGACATACCATCACTGCATCAAAGGATGAGACTGTCAGCCAGCTCTGAGGCTCAGGTGAGAATAACTTTTTTTATTTCAGTCCCTAGATGAAAAAGAGCAAGCAACCCTTGCAGTGCTGGGGTTGCCCCACTGCAAGGGTTAATACATTTTTCAGCAGAGTTCTCATTTAAGTAGATGACCGGCTTGACCCCCAAATATGCATGTTTGGGACCTGAAACACTTTAAAACGTTCTGAAATTGCACAGAAATTATTTGCAGCAAGTTAGTAAAAAGTAGCTACTCCTTTTTACATAGTTGTGGACAAAAAGCACAAGCTACAAAGTAAAGCATATCAGGTATGCTGAAAAACCAGCTAATGTTTTTGAAATAATTCTGCTTTGTAATGCAGCCTACAGGAGAGCCACAACTATAAGTGCATCAGTAATTTAATGCATATTTTAACCATATGCTGGTCAGACTCTGATATATGTTTATATGCAGAACTGAGTTCCTTACTCTTTGAGTAGTCATATTTCAATGACTTACAGTGATCCATGCAATCTCTACAAACCTGCAGAAATGCGTGTCTTTTAAATATGGTCACACTGACTAGATAGGGACACTTGGGTTTGTTTAAACTCCTTTTATGGATGCTAGAAAGTGCTGACTGCCTTTCAGTCTAGCAAAGACATGGCTTCACAGAGCTGTCTGAGGGATTTGTAACAGCACAGTAAACAAAATCCACAGGATAATTATGAAACATATGGTGCATAACCACCAGTCTGTTTATTTTATGGAAGTTAACATTATTTACAGTGTTTTGTGGTTGAAATTAATAGATGGGTGTCGTCCAACAAAAGAGACTTTTTCTTTCTCTTTCAAAGTGTTTATATAAACCATTCCAGTCCGCATCTGCAGAAAGGCTCTTTCTATAAAGACAAAGCACTCTGATTGTTTTTGTATGTTTTTAATGATGTCTGAAAAAGATGTAATCCAAGAGCAGAAATGTTGCCAGCAACATTACCGAGTATGGTGAAAATCAAGTAATTTTCTGCTACACCAAGTTTACAGGGCAACATAATAAAACATCTAATTTAGTTCTAAATCAAATGTTTCCTCATCATATTAGCAAAGCATTTAATGATGATACTTGTATCTAATAAGAGCCTATTGGTTACAGACTGTCTTCTACCATACTAACATGATTGACACATGCAGCTCAGTCAATCGTGAGAGTCCTCCTCTGATAATGATATCGTTATTAGCTTATTTTACTTCGCTTAAGGAGGCAGAGGCATTCTTCAGCGGATCAAAAGATGGATATTACAGGGGTTGCAGGATACGTAACTGATTTGTTGGCCTTTAAATATGCATTTTATCGATCCCTGGGAAGGTCCAGGAAGATCATATTTTTTTATGACATATAAAAAAAACCTTAAAGACCCAAGCCAATAAAGAGTCTTAAAGGAGAACTATCAGGTGAGTGATTTCCACTCATCCTCATAGTTAGAGCCGACGTGTGACAATGAAACTGTCACAGGTTGGCTCTATTGATCGGGAAGTGAGCAAACACATACCGCCGCTCGCTCACTCACTTCCTGATCATCTCCCTGCAGAGAGCAGTGACTGTCAGACACCGCTCCCCACAAGGATTCCCCCCTCCCCACTCTGATCCTCCAGCGCTAACTAGAGGAATGGATGGGGGAGGGGGTGGGCACAGCTGGCTCAGCCGCTAGATAGGTAGAGCCCGCTGTCAATCAGCCAGCTGGGTGGATCTCAACAGTATTATCGGGATCCTTCCCTGCTGCGGCGCTCTCAGTATATAGCGAGCAATAGGTCGCTATATACTGCACTTTGGGTCACGGGAGGAGGTTAATATATGTCCTCCCATGACCCTAAAGAGAATTATGGAATAAAAAGGTTACCTCATAGTTCTCTTTTAAGGAAGAACTATACTTAAAAGCTACATTAAATGCTGGCTTCACAATGCACTGCAGGTATGTGCACAGTAAAGCACATTGCACACATTGGAGTACCATTCTTTTTGAAAAGTACCCCAATGCACTAAAGGAATGCACTCCTGTGTTGCAGTGCAACGCACACATGCTAATGCACTACCATGTGTTGTGGTGTGCTGTGTCAGGGAAAATTGTGCAGGTGCTTTTTCTGGCTTCTTGTGGTACGTTGGCAGCCCATTCAAATCATTAGGCTGAATGGCATAACATGCATTATCATGCATGCTTTAAAGTGTATGCAAACCCTAATGAACGTCTCTTATTTGCTCCCTTTTGATCTGTTAAACATACTAATTAAAATGTTTTGTTTATCTGTACAGGAAAAATCTGTTGATCCTGTCAGAAATGTAGAACTATGCTGTATACTGTGCATACTTTCTGTGTTATCTCAATGAGCCTAATCAGCCCTTCTTGTTCTTATGTAATACATCAATACAATTACATCCTATGATGTGGAGATGATGAGAAGGGGGAGAGTTTTGCAAAAGACACTGAACAGGGCTGAAACCATTTAGTCCAAAAAAATGATGTGTGTTGTCAGCCCACAACAGGAGCTCAGTGCCTTTCTGACAGACCAACATTAAATTTTCTCTGCTTGCAGTGTCTTTAAAGGGGTAAAACATACCTACATTTTAACAGTGGGTCATACATATGTGAATGGGACAATAATATTATTAGAACTATGGTTGCCATTACCTTACTTATCCTGAGAATGTGGTGTGAATTTTATATTTAAGCTGCTAAATGTGTATGTCCATTGAGCATGGAGAGGGCATACTGTTTTGTCTTTTTGTTCTTTCCTTGCTAAAGAAGTCTTATGGGACTTCAAGTTAACACAAATTCCTGCTGGCCCTGGTGTGAGATTTCTGACATCACATAACTTGCAGACCTAGGATCTCTGATCAGCAGCATGCAGTAGGCAGAACTAAGTTCTTTACATCAAAAAGCATAACCTGTAACATTTTTTTTCTTAGAAAGCTGAGTAAGCCTATACTGTTAGATTAGATTCCATTTTTACAGTCCAGGTTTTAAAAGTAGAAAAGGCTGCTAATTGATCAATATAAACAAGAATACATTCTACATTTGCACACTTTTATCATAGTGGTAATCTGCAGAGGCTTATTGGTGTTCAGGATTAGAGCATGATGGCAGGCACTATGATATAATGCTGTGTGATGCTATCACAGCACCAGGAATTTGCTAAATATTATAGTGTCCCCTGAAAAAGTTGGCAACCTGCCTTGAAAAACTGGGGAACTGGGGAAATGGAAAAACACATGAAGAAAAAAAAGTAAAATAAAATAAATAAATACATAGTTACATTAAAAATACTGTTACAAAGCAGTAGTACTTACCCACAAAATAATGATGTACTTTATTGTAAAAAGCATACCTGAAGCTCTACTTGTGATTACAGGGGTCAAGATAGAAGTCAGAACAAAAATTGTCAAAAAATGTATTACATATACATCAGAAAGAAAACCTGTGGATTTATTTTTTGTTCCAAAACTGAAGTTAAATTTTGGGTTGATGTAGCTAGGTTGCTCACTGAATGTCTTGAGATATCTGTCAGGGACTCCAGTAGGGAGATTTCTGTGAGTTCCCAGCTCCACCAACAGGCTGTGGCTATTATTCCTGATTGAGTTTTAATTTATTTATCACAGAGTATGGAATATGTATGAACCTCCTAGTGTAACAAAATAAAGAGTGGCATTTCTCTGCATATATATGCCAATGTTGTGCAGAAAATGGCATGGCTATATGCTGTATATATATATATATTCTTAGCTTTTTTTTTTTAAGCAATTTTTTTTTTTTAGTAGATAAAGAAATTGAAATTAACATTAGACATCTCAAGCACTTATGCTATCCAAAGAGAAACCTTTTTATAGTTTTACAACTTACACATTGCATGTTGACATCTATAAAATGAAAGCTAATGTTCTATTATGTACTTTAGAGTTACTTATGCTTTATCATAATGTACAAATTATGACTTTAAATAATGTATGGTGTTTGTATGAGATGTTTCTCATGAACACAGGCTTTCACTTTCACTGAAAACTTAGCATGCTGTTACAAATCACATGAATAATGAGTAATTTGGCATGAGTCCATATATGTGATGACATCACACCAAACATTATGAGACATATGTAATTTCTTAACCTTTCTAAATCTCTCACCTGAAGTATATATCCGCGAACATAATCCCGCAGCGTCCATCCTAAGCCATGCAATATGTGCAGTACCTCTTCTTGTTTGAGAACACTGAAGAGTCGGTCAAGCAGGATCTTGAGGCGCACAGGTACAGCCTGTGTACCATAGAGCATAAGGCTGCTGATGTCAAACACTACGTTAGATTGTACAATTTCCACTTGTGTTGGGTGGTACAGGTGCTGAGTGCTGAGCTTGTCCAAAGCTGTAGTAATAGAGAAAAGCAAAAATAAAACAAAGATGCCTGTATTAAAAGATCAGTCCATAATGTTGATAACTTGTAAGTGAATTGTTCAAGCAACAGGGTCTAAGTCACTCTCAGTCTTGTTTTAACTCATTTAGGAATCTTCAGGCTCTAGAAATGGCAGTACTGACGGCAGGAGGGATTTTACACCAAAGCTGCCAGAGCTTAGAGAATATACCCCTTAAGAATAATGTATTGTCTAGCAAAGCCATGTATGCTTCAGCACAATCAAGGGGACTATGGAAATCTCCTAGCTTTCTAGCCAGGGAATGAAGTCATGCAAAAATAGAAGCGAATAAACAAAGTTCTCCAAGAATTGTTTATTTTTAGACATTTTGGCCATTACACAACTCACTGTGGAGAAAAACTATATTTTACTAATACTGAAATGTTTAAATTATGTTATTGATTTTATAAAGAAAGCTTGGCTTGCAAAACTATACATTAATTATTAGATTTTACCAAAACACTTACTACATACATATTACTAATACTTGCTATAACTAATGTAGTACAAGCACTGTAAACAGTGCTGTCTAATCTGAGACTCTGTCTATTCGGACACATTCATTTTGAACCCTGAAGAGTTTGCATGGTTTACTTGATACAAACATTTAATTAGAAGTCCTCCAAGTCTATTCAGCTTTACAACTCTTCGATTAGCTTCTTGCTCATTGCTCAGTGAAAATGCTGATTCGCTATCCAATGAGCAGAATCTTAGGAAGCTGCAAAACTGAGCCAGGACATCTATGTCTACTGCTGGGCTATGTGGTTGGGTGGTTGGCAGGGGGTGCCTTAAAAATGCTCTGTTTTGTTAGCTGTTTGCAAAACATTCAGTTCCAAATAAAATATCACTGAAATGTGTAAATAAACAGTGACACAATGGGGTGAAATCATGAAAACTGGAGCAGACAGATTCTGGAGCAGTTGTCCACGGAATCCCGTTATTCTGTTTCATTTTCAAAGCTTAACTGAACAAACTGGAAAGAGAAGCTGATTGGTTAATATGGACGACTGCTCCAGATTCTGTCTGCTCCAGTTTTTATGAATTTTTCCCAATAAAGTGACGGAAGCTGGTGCAGCATTGCAAGTGGACTGTACATCATATCATTCTATGAAAGCCTAACTGTATCATATAGCACAACAGGATGTTAAATTGACAGTTACAGTGTTATAATTCTTTCCTGGTCACATGTGCTGCTGACAATCAAATATACATATTCCTTAGTATTCATGATTGTCTGACATACTGTACATCTTGTTCATTCACTCTGCTTTTAACATTTTGTAAGTATTAAATACACAACATTATGAAAGTAAGTTATTACATCAGATCATGATTTTTTTGTTCTTTCATGCCTATCTCCCCCTATCCTAAATTAGAAGCTGTAAGTAAAACATTGCAATGTTAGCAGTGAAAGTGAATGTTTATCTGATAAGCACTTCAGCTGTGAGCATCACTTTTACTGGCCAAAACTCTACTCGCTGTGAGTGCTCAGAGGTTGAATGTGTGCAGTCACTGAAAAAGGAGTAATTACACATTGAGCGAGGGGAACTTAATGAATCTTAAAACCACATACTTTGCAGAGTAAAGAAGCTGACATTTTGGAGGAAGTGGACTGAAAAGGGTCCTTGTGTTTCACAAGAATGACATACACAGCTGTGGCAAATTCTAAATTTAAAGTGCTTATTTCGTAGTTTTTCTACTGGTGAGTTTGTAAAGTTTGTTTTGGTTGAACGTCAAGAACAGATTGGCTTTCTATTCAACCTACGAACCAGAGGCTTTTCATTGGTATTTATATACATATGGCTGCTTCTGGTTATTCTCCATGGAGGCATTTAGGGCGTAATTTATACAAGAGGTGTTGGAATTAAAAAGAAGTGCTATCATGTTGTAAGAAGGTGACCAATCTTTGTCTGTTCGGTGTGATAATGGCTACAAAAGTCTTTAATTTCCACATAAACAGCAATCCTTCAAATATCTGCTAAGGAAAGTAACATGGCTGACTCATACAAACAGGGTTATTCACAATAGCGTGAAGAGTTTGGAGAAGTCAGGAGAAGTGAACAATCTAGGACAAAATAGCTGATTTGGAAAATGTCTCCAATTCAGCTCACTTTCCAGATCAGCTATGTTGTCCTAGATTGTTCACTTCTCCTGCCTTCTCCAAACTCTTCACCCTTATGTGAATAACCCTGAAAGTCTATTTAACTGGTACCTGAAGTATTTCATAGTGTAAAATTAAGTGAGAGGCTTTCTCGGAACCTGTAACAACTTGGAAAACAGTCAAGGAACACTAGTGCAAGATGTCAATCTGAACTTTAAACTGAGGTTATCCAAGCACAAAAAGTATTTGTTGATATGCATCAAAAACCAATCTGCTCATCTAAAACTCTTTATGTGCTAATACACATACACTGTTGGTCTTGTATTGAAGTAATACAATGTTTTTTGGATTTAACAAAAAAAATGTAAAGCACACCTGAAAACCTCTGTCCGCCAGTAATTTCTGTGTAAAGTACCCAGCTTATCCTTAAAGCTAGGTGCTGCGTTGAAGGAAAAAGGGAGCACTCTGAAATGAACTGCATAATTTCCACAAAGAGACCTGCATTTAGAAAAAAAAACCTAATTGGGATATCTAGAATCTGAAATCAGAGAATCAGCCAATGGACTTAGTGTTAGTTCTCTATTTGCTATATTTAGTTTTCTATTGGCTGATCGAAGCGCGTCAGCCAGTGAGGATACTGGTGAGGTTCATCTACTGTCTGGTAAAATAAATGTGGGTTTATGATGCTGGAGATCCTGGTGTATAGCAAGGATTTTTTTGAATAATATCACGAGAGCGTGCTTAACTCGGAGTGGCTCCCACTGTTGGACTTTGTTGATCACACAAGAGACTGTCATGGATGGATACTAAAGGGTATCTAAACCCAAAAACAAATATTGAATATATTTCATCTTACCAGTGCTTAGTTTGTGCTTTTTTTAGGCCTTTTTTCTTTATTTCTACTTGGTCATCTTGCCAGTAACAAACTTCCTTGGTGACAATACTCAGTGTACTGTATCTACGAGAATTGTCAACCTAGGATAGGACTACAGAACACATGCCATCGCCATTTACATGACATAGTGGTAGGTGTTCTGCAGTCCCTAGAGGGAGCTGGGAACAATGCTAACTGATAAAAGTACAGCATAGGCAGAGAGCACAGGAATGTATTAGCTTACAAGATTTCTTACAGGATCAACAGGTATTTTTTGCAATTATCAAACAGATATAACAAAATGCTTTGAATGGTGTACTTAGAGAAGAACTCAGGACAAATAAAAAACGTACCCTAGTAGTGGGGCTACCCAGGCACTGCAAGGGTTCAGTGCTTGTTTTGTCTAGGGGACTCAAGTAAAGCTGTGTTACTTAACTGATCCTCACTCCCCAGACTTCTTTAGACTGCTAGACTGGTCCCCGCAGCCTTTTCTTCCCTTTGTTTTGGCAGTCTAAAGACTGCAGATGTCCTCACATCCTTTGTAGGCCTGTAGACCTGCATTAGATGTGAAGACACAGAGGGATAATATATAGTCGAAGCGGAGGGGGAAAGTGGTGAGTGCTGACCGCCACAACACCTGGAATCAGGTAAATAAATCTGCTTTATTTGAGCTCCCTAGACAAAATGAGCACTTAACCCTTGCGGTGTGGGGGTAGCCCCACTGCAAGAGTACGTTTTTTATTTGCCAGTCCTTTAACAGGAGCAAATAAAAGTTAATTGTTAGGATTTTTATACATTTAACTACAGCATTTAAAAGAACATCAAAGGAAAGTTCTGAACGTAATTGTGCTTTATTTTAAAATATTTTGTTTACATGACCAGTATGACACCGTCTAGAGTAAGCTTAAGCATGACAGCAGTTTCTCCTGAAAAACACTATGTAAGTGTTCAAAATACACTCTTTACTGTTTATTTTCTCTAAGTCTGTCCAACTACAAATATCTGAAGAAAGATATAGTTCAGCTATGGCCTACAGAGCTGCCAATTTTGGTGGGAAAATAAACAGGTTAATTTTGTTAAAGTTACGGCTTGCATAGCTCAAGAACAAGTATACAGAATCAGTTTTAAATGAAAAATAGATTCAGAAAAAGAAATTGAATAGGAATGACTGGGTTTATGCGAGCTTAGGTGCAGCTCAGTTGAGAACAGCAGGGCTAAGTAGGTTTGGTTAGAGGAGATGACAAGTGTTTCATTAGGAGCTTTTGAGACCTTGCAGCCTCAAGCAGAACTGAGGGGATTGTAGTTAACGCAGCATTGCATTAGTAGACATCTTCAAATCAAGCAAAAGTGTGCTGAACAGATGGTACAGAACACAGATATGTCACAGGTCTTGAGATCAGGTAGAGATGGAAGCAGAATACATTCTGAAAAACCACTGCAGGGCTTTGTAGAGAGGAATTTAATGAAAACATCCATGCTTGCTCACAGGACAAGATAACTTAACTGAATTTCCGCAGAAAACCCAGGCTGATTTTAGATGAACCATCTGCCGGACCTTAATAGAAGGATGTCAGACCCAAATGGAAGCGAAGATTGAAGTGAGTGTATAAACTTCTGTGCGGGCTGTATTAGCTTTTTTTAACAGTTATGAAGACTGGGTGTCTTTGGAATATTATTAAATAAGGAAAATACCGGTTTCTTCATTTTTTGTTTCAACCTACTCTGATATGTAGTTTAAATTATATCTATATCCAAAAAGTATTTTTTTTTGGTAGAGCAATTAACAGTTAAAACAGTGCCTTATTTTTTTTTGTGGTCTATGTCTCAATGAGGGGATTTATCTCCACTTCCTATCTCGAAACACAACAAGAATGAGAAAGAAGCATTCCCATAGAAAGATTTCCTTTCTATCAAAAGAGAACTATAGGTTAAGTGTTTTTTCCCCATAGTTCTCTTTAGGGTCACAGGGGGACATATAC